CACATCATAATAGCACCCGGATGACCAAGTTGATCATGTCAAAGGATAAAGACATCTAAATTGACTAATTTCTGATTTGTTACAATATTGGATTCTATTAGATGTATATGTGTATAATATAATCTAAAAGAGAAAGTTAACATTTTCTCTATTATTTTCTTTTTTCCAAATGCACAAGTTGACATGGAGAAATTTTATTCCATTTCATCCATGGTTTCAATATGAAAATCATTACGACGTATATCCTTAAAACTTAATAGATTTCAATTTGATCTAATGGAATATAGGGCATCATGTATTAATAATTTTGTTCCTCTAAGCAATAAAATGCAAGTTTTTCCAAAGCATTCAATCAACTTTGCTATACCAGATATTATATGAACATTAGTCTCCGTTAACTTTAATTAAGAAAATTAATTCTTATTTTTCTAGATGGTATGTGTTATGTTACTATCAACAAAACATAGGTCTTCATTATTAATCTTTGCATCATTCAAGTCCATTTAATTTTAATAAAAACAAATGAAATAAAAAAAGACAAATATTCAATATCTATATTCTTAAGTGATTTATTCTTTTATTGAATACATAAAAAGGACATTACATGTAGAAAAGAGAAATAGCCACTTAGGGCAAATTATTTAAAAGGACATAACAAGTCAAACTTTTGATTGGGTATTACCAACACCATGAAACTTTTCAACATCTTCAAAAAAATCTACAACATCAAGATGTGTATCAAGGTCCACATTATTATGCTCAATGAAATGCATTTATGGACCTTTTCCTTTTCCCTTTTCATTAAATGAGGTTTGATAAAAATCAACCAAATGCCTAGCAATGCAACAAACACACTCCCAATATCCTTTTGCTCCACATTGATAACAAAAACTTTCAAGGTCTTTTGCAGGGTTCTTTTATAAATTTTTTCTCCTTACATTCTTTTGTCCAACAAATTCATATTTAAAGTTAAAACCACTATGGTGCCAAATATTATTTTGACCATAGGCATGCCCATAGCCATAGTTATTGCCATGATTATGGCTACGACTATGGCTACAACCATGCCCATTATTATTATACGAGGTTGCATTTGTCTCAAATAATGAGACTAAACTAATAGGTTATGATCGATGATTTTTTATCGAAGGATCATTATTTTGTTCAGCAATAAGAAGACATAGTATCAAATCTGAATATTTTTTAAAGCCACCCTCTCGATATTGTTGCTAAATGAGCAAATTTGAGGCATGAAAAATGGAGAATGTTTTCTCTAACATGTCTTCATGAGTAAT